GCGGAGTCTTCCGAATTCATTTGTTTGTCAAATTTGAATCGAAGCGGGGCTGTCAATTTTCTACGCTTTTTGTATAAATTTATTCTAAAGGTAGCTGCGTTTGTGTTTTAATGCAATATTTCTTATTCTTTTAAAACGATTTGAAAGTTCATATGCATCGCCAGTTAGTTCCAGCTCTTTTGTAGAGAGGCTTTTAAAGAGTTGGCAAAATTTAAAAAAAAAATCTGAAAGATTTGGTTTTTAAATGTTTACCACTCTATAAATTATTTTACAAAAGGCGTACTAGTTGGCAGGCCTGTCGAAGTAATCCCAGAGGTCGTATGAAAACACCTCATTTTGTTACAGAGGGAAAAGTAGAGGGAACTTTAAGAATCGATGAAACTTGTACGGTCGGCGAGGAAAATCTTAGTGGCATTAATATTTATTATAGAATTTATTAATTTTTGTTTTCTAAAATTAAAATAATAGTAATAATAATTGTTTCACTTATTGAATCGAATCTAATAATCTAATCATATCCGTAGCAGCCGTGGTTTTAATTGCTGGTAAAGTTGCTTAAAATTTAAAAAACAATTCGAATTTTGATTATTATTTCATAATCAAATAGTAAAGTCTTTCCCAGCTGGCGTACAGTGAGCAAAATGAAAAACGGACCACTATAAATAACTTTTGATCTAATAATCGGATATTCAAATTCTAGGATTCAATCTTAATGGTTTAAGGGGGTGACCTCAAATATGTTAATTAATATGCGCAGACGATATTTTAAGTTAAGATATCAGACACAAAAACATATTTTCTTTGAGTAAACATACTTTTTTATCGAAGGATTCGGATTTTTGACCACCAAAATATAGGGGGTAGTCCCAATCTGGGAAATATGATCCCCATAGTTTGGTCAGGAGAGTGATCCAAAACTTGGGATCCCTTAATGTTAATTTTTCCTTTTGCGTATTTCGCAAAAATCCGAAACGGATTGAAAGATTTTTGTACTCAAATATAAAATGCTTTCATCCAACGATAAATCTGTGCAAAAAATGTGTCATTTTTTATTATTTTATTTAATATTAGTCGAAAAATTTTTGCATTCCAATGTAAACAATTGATCACATCATCTTAAAAAGTATAATTTTAAATGCAAAAAATACAAACTTTCAGAGAAATCGATCGAATAGAACAAACATCTGGCTTTTTTGAAATTCGATTTCTCAGGAACTATTCNTTAGTCGAAAAAATTTTGCATTCTAATGTAAACAATTGATCACATCATCTTAAAAAGTATAATTTTAAATGCAAAAAATACAAACTTTCAGAGAAATCGATCGAATAGAACAAACATCTGGCTTTTTTGAAATTCGATTTCTCAAGAACTATACAACCGATTTATGTTCAAATTTTGTATTTTGCCATGAAAATTATTAACTTTTAAATGATGCAATAAGTTGTATACCTTACAATTCAACATTTTTACTACCATTATTGAATAAAATAATAAAAAATAATAAATATATATTGAATGTTATTTTTTTGCATAGAATAATCTTTGGATAAACAAATTCTATAATTGTGTGCAAGACTTCTTCGATTCGCTAAAAAGAATTCCCTACATATAGCGAAACATGCAAAAAGTGGAAATAACATTGAAAAGAAATAACATTAACTTATGCATAAACATCAAACAAGCGTTTTTCCCAAACTGCCACAAATCCTCATTTCTTTCTTCGTCATTAGATCAGCATTTGCTTAGGTAATGGAACGTCTTTGCTGTAGGGAAAAAAATACGAAAATTTTTAATAAGCATGGTATGAAAATCGTAAAAAAAATATTTCACTATTTTTTTTAAATTTGGAAAGTGAAATAAATCTATTTATATCTATTTTTGCGAAACTTCACGAGACTTTGGTGAAAGGTGATATCGACAAGGGCAATTTTCATGAATCAAAAGCTTCGTCGATCAAATCTATTAAAGTTGGATGCTGGATATTGGGGTTATCTCGGCGTTTGACGCGAGGCGCCACTAACCGATTCATCGAATCTGTTTTGTCGAATTCTAGGAGGTCCTAAATATCTTTGAAGTTGTAGTGTGTTGTAACAACAAATCAAGTCCTTAAGGAGTAAATCTTTAGTTTTGAAGGGAAAATCATCTTTGGAATGGGGAGATCCCCTTGAGTAGAGTTGTATGATAAAGTTAATAGTATGCAGTCTGAGCATAAAAAGGCGGTAATTGGGCTGAAATTCGGATTATCCCGGATTATATCCATATGGAACAACTTATTGAAATCTGATGTGGTACATGTTTTTGCGTCACTATAAAATTTTGTGGTCAATTTGGCTATAAAGCAATTGATATCATCAATGTAAACAATANAGTAATCTATTGCTAATCGCCCTTGGGGCGCCAGTCATTGTGCGTACAAATTTACCTTCAGTTGTATATAGCTTCTTTTTTAGGTTGCTGCTTATAGTAGTGAGGGCAGGGCAAGCAAATCTATTAAAGTTAGCAAGTCTTACATACAAGTGAATTGATGTTTAATAATAGTAGTGGTAATTACGCCACTATACTCCCCCACTAGAATTTTATCAGGGATAGAATTTGATAAACGCCTACCATTAGTTACCACATTTGCGAAAAACTGCAAGAGCTATATTAAGTTCATCGGATGTTGAGCGCTAGTGGTGAGATCTGTATTAAGTTCACCGAGTTTTAAGCGTTTGTCGTGAGAACTGTATTAAGTTCACGTTTTTGTGTGTGATCTTTCCTGCATTGCTATAAGCAGTCGAGTGTGTTTATGATCCCGTTGTGTGTAAATGAGACTGATAAGCAACAGTGCGAGGAGGACGCCTGTCACAATCAGAAAGTCAACTGTTCAATGCCGTTCATTCATAAAAGTACGCGTTGCTTTTGATGTGGGCGAGTTCATATCACGTTCGCAGGTTACCAATGTAGAGAGGGTAGTTTTAGACTATGACAACCTTCATCTATCAAAAGGTTCCTCAATGTTGATACCGAATTGAAACATTGGAAATAATGCGAAGCTTAGTGCGCCGGCACGAAGAGGTATTGACTGATTGGTCGATTTTGAATTAATCGATAATTAGTCGATGACACGAGGAAATAAATTGGAATAAAAACGGGGAGCTAAGTAAGTTTAAAATCATAAGATGGGATTTGTAGTCGTGAAGTAATTAACGTATGAAAGAAATAATTCCTAAGTAGCATGTTTGACGTTTAATAATCGTAGTGATAGTTAAGCCACAACTTCGTAGTACGAAGATTTTAAAAAAAAGTGAAATGAAATACTTCGATCGCAACCTTTTTTTTTTAATTGATTTATTTTAGATTCTTTCAGATCCTGGAAATAAACATTAAAAACTGCAATGTAAATTTATAAAAATGTGCTTTATAACTCCTAACAACCTGAATATTTTGCCTTCATATTTTAGCTTAGAAAACATATGGATGTATTACAGGTCTTAGTCACCCTGATAAAAGTGTGTAATGAGGGTGAAGGTTCAAAAATTTATCTATAAATATTATTTATAAATTTTATTAATAATTATAATTTTTTATAATTAAGGTTAAATATAAAAACATTTTCAGCTCCTTAAAAACACGATTGATTTAGCTTTAAAAGATGCATATGAACGTTGTCGAGAGCTGAAATTATTTTATTTATACAGTTCTGCTCACTTTTTACGTCTTTTTTTAAAAAATTTCTTCCTCCGCCTTTATAACCCAGTGTAGCCAATCTCACAAAACTCAACAAATTTACAAACCATTTGATAATAAAGCTTTTAAATGTTTACCAACTACTATTTTTTAAACAAGAAAGAGCTTAAGTATGTCCCTTCATGTAGAATGTATCAATGTCTAGAATACAACATAATTAATTTTCTTTTCACACCAATTTGTATTTCAATTACCAGCAAGCACCACCTCGAAGTTAAAACTTCAAGACAGATGTAGGTAAAAGGTCGTATATTTCGCTGATAGATGATAACGAACTGTCTAAGGTCACACTAAACAATGTTCTGCCTGACTGAACGTTTCAATCGAAATTTGCTGTTCGCATAAGGCTAAATCTTCAATATTAATGAAAACAATTGAGGACCATTAATGGAAAACGACCTAAGTCCAAAAAGGTAAATTTTTCAGAAGAGTCGAAAAATGAAAAACACTCGTATCTGGTATTTAAAATGTTCTCCATTCCACGTGGAATGGAGAACATTTAGTAAGGAGTACTCCTTCGGAACGGTAACCAACACCACCTTACATATTAACTAACCTTCCTTACTTTTATTTTTAAATTAATATAAATGTTCATATTATTGTTATTCTTATCCCAGTGAAAGCTACTGGAACTTAGAGCTTTGTCACTGCGTAAGGCATATTCGGCCAGCGCCATCTTTCGACGAATTTTTGAACTATTACTACTAGATTTTGCACTTTGGACGTTCTAAACTTTATTTAACTTGATCTGTAGGACATTTTTCAGTATTAAAAAAAATTTCGACTTTTCTTTTACTTTTTGGTCAACTTAGGTGAAATTTTACTCATTTGTGAAAAAAAGAGCATTCTCATCTTGAGTTAAATCCACGGGAACAAGTTCTCTCACTCACTCTAAATTCACTCATTCAAAGAATCAACAGAAATAACTCAAGTTTGAGAGCATAATTTTATCACAAACTTTGAGTGAATTTCAATCGTTTTTAATCGACCATCAGTATAACTTGAGTGAAATTAAACGTAATATAGAAGCAAGAACATAACTTATTTAGATCGCAGAACATAATAATTTTATTTAAATTTATTATCGTTTGCATTTTAAAATAACACAATGCAAATTACAGCTTATAACTCGCACACAATTGAATAAAAAATAACTTCAAATCAATCCTGAGCTAACGCAACTGAAGTACCGCTTAAATATCTGTCAAACGAGTTCAATTTAAAGCAAAGCAAGTATTTCACTCAAACATAGGTGTATTCAACTTCGAGCTTTAAAGAATTTCACTGTTTTTTGAGTACGGGAATTCACTCATTCATTTAAAGCGAGAACGAATAAAAAAATCTTAGTATGTTGTTGTCAATTTTTGCGATTATTCTTGTTTTCCAGTAGCGCCATCTATGGTGAAGAATTTGACTTCCGCCACACTTATACGTTGCACCCGTTTATAGGGAAGACTCATTCATACAATCATTCATTCATCTATAGATCATAATTTTGACCTGAACCAGAGAACGATCCATCTCCAATTCAGCATCCCCAAAGGTACTCATTTAGATAAGGGAACGTGGAGAACTTTGTGACCTGACAGATTCAACGTGCACCAGTTATGAGGGGAGTTTTCGGCCGATTGGATTCGAACCCCCGTTCTCTTCGAGCAGTCTGTCAACCAGGCCATAACTTAGTATTAAACGGAAATTTGTCAAACAAATATCTTTGTAAATATATTTACTTACATTTCAACTCGCTCCACCTTCACACCCCAAGACACAGTTGCTTCATCCAAACCGGTCTGTAAAAAACAAAAATTAGATGAGCATTGAATTCGATGCAATCAATAAAAGTGAAGAGCGTAAGTTAAAAAAAATGAAGTTTTCTTCTTTTTTATTATTTCTGGGGCACAAAAAATCGTGCAATAGTATGTGGCAAACATTTTTGAGGTATTCAAGAGATATTTACTTATTCCACTTTAATGTGAAATTAGATGCTGAGTAATCCTAAATTTCACGAATCACTATTATTAAAAAAAGAATTTCCATTAAGTTTCCATTCAGCCTATTTACTGCCGAAAGACTTTTTTTTCTTCACTAATGCTTTAATGAAAAAAAGGGGGAAGACACGCTTAACTTCTTGGGGACGAGTGATTCAGAAAAGCAATCGTACAAAATCAGAATCAAGTTGTAATTAAATAAAAAACGGCAACTTAAATGTAGTCGTTGCTAATTTGACAGACTTACTTTGCTTTTACTTTAATTATTGTTAGTTTAATCATATATATATACGAGGATTGTAAATTAAATAGTGGCATCTTAACCTTGAAACTCATAGAAGGGTGGGCATGCGCAAATAGGATATGGGAGTGGTAAGATGGCGCTGTCGTCGATGTGCAGAGTGCAAAAAACAGTCGATTTGCTTAGAAGGGTAGTTGTTGTGTGGCGTTAAAGTTAGAAGTTACGTTTCCATCGCTCTAAAGCATGTTTTCAAAGGGCTTAATGACGAAAAAAGAGGAGATGCTTGAACCCATCGTGCTACTGCCCTATATTGTAAAGCATTTGCGCCACAGGCTTCCACTAGTCCTCGATTGTATTCTGTAACATTTTTGCCACGGGCAACCCCGATTTTAAGCCATGACCGCTGATCACCTTTTGAAAACATGCTTGAGAGCGAGGGAAACGAAGCTCCTCACTTTAACGCCACACAACAACTACCCTTCTAAGCAGAACGATTGTTTTTAGCACTCTACACATCGACAACAGAGCCACCTCGCAGCTCCCATATCCTATTTGCGCATGCCTGCCCTTCTGTGAGTTTCAAGGTTAAGTTGTCACTATTTAATTTACAACCCTCGTATAATCAATGTTAATTCAAAGTATAACTAAATAGTTTTATTTTGAATAAAGTAATGGTGAATTAAATAAATCAAACAATTATAACTCCGCCCACAAATGAACTGCTACAGAAATACTTTGATTACCAGTGATATCTTTTTACACCCTGGTTGATACGTTTTTATGCTGGCACGTATTTGTGACAGTCTGCGCGAAAAGATGAATCGTAGATACTTTTTAATATTATCTACTACTCTAGTTTTTACAAAGATTCAATCAGATAATTTAAAAAACAAATACAAAAGTATTTATATTATTAATATAAATATATGTCACCGTGATTGACCGAAATCAAGAGAATGTCGACTTTCACCTGTGAATGTCAACAATCACATAATCGCTTTGGTGAATGTCCGTATATTTGTTATATCCGATTTTATATTAATTTATTCGTTGATATTATTATTTTTAATCTATATTTTAATATCTGCTGAGGATAGATTGGGAGGAACATCAGTGTTCGGAGTACCGGTTTAATGTATACTGGGCAGTGGCACTTGACCTTAAAAAAACATTGATGTAGGGCATACCGGGCAAATGCATACTGGGCAGTTTCACTTAACTAGACCTAGTATATATATTTCGGAGATTTACCTAAGCGACTACGTGATTGTCAATATTCATTCTCCAATTTCGGTCATTCACAGTAACATGCACACAATTTTACACAATTTTTGTTTTAGGCACAATAAATTTTAAGAATGAAAGAATTGAGTAACCACAGCTTATATTATAAAAAACACAAATCGATTCGTGGTATAGGATGATGCGCTTCAAGGAGTTTGTTTATAGTTACTTCGTAACATGCACGTATGTTATTTCTCTTAACATGAGACACAAAACACATATTAACGCAGCGGACTGTTATTTTATTTGCACATTGAATTCACACACTTGCCTCTTTCGAGGTTGGTAATACACACACTAGTTCTCGTTTCTTACACAGAGGGCGTTGCTCGCATACAAAACTGAACACTTAGGTTATACTATTCCCGAGATTTTAANACATTAACGGGAAAATGGCCGTCCGCGCGGACGTCAGATTCGAGAAATTCGTTGTCCGCGGGGAATTTTTGACCGCCGAGGACGGGTGGTTTTTCGAGCCCTGCTAAATAGTTTTATTTTGAACAAAGTAATGGTGAATTAAATAAATCAAACAATTATAACTCCACCCACAAATGAACTGCTACAGAAATACTTTCATTACCAGTTTTATTTTTTTACACCCTGATTGATACGGTTTTATGCAGGCACGTATTTGAGACAGTCGGCGCGAAAAGATGAATCGTAGATACTTTTTAATATTATCTACTACTCTAGTTTTTACAAAGATTCAATCAGATAATTTTTAAAAAAATACAAAAGTATTTATATTATAAATATATGTTACCGTGATTGACCGAAATCAAGAGAATGTCGACTTTCACCGGTGAATGTCAACAATCACATAATCGCTTTGGTGAACGTTCGTATATTTGTTATATCCGATTTTATATTAACTTATTCCTTGATATTATTTTTTTAAATCGATATTTTAATATCTGCTGAGGATAGATTGGGAGAAACATCAGTGTTCGGAGTACCGGTTTAATGTATACTGGGAAGTGGCACTTGACCTTAAAAAACATTGAGGTAGGGCATACCGGGCAAAAGTATACCAGGCAACGGCATTAAACATTAAAAAAACATTGATGTAGGGCATACCGGGCAAATGTATACTGGGCAGTTTCACTTAACTAGACCTAGTATATATATTTCGGAGATTTACCTAAGCGACTACGTGATTGTCAATATTCATTCTCTAATTTCGGTCATTCACAGTAACATGTACACAATTTTTGTTTTAGGCACAATAAATTTCCGAAATAAATTTTAAGAATGAAAGAATTGAGTAACCACAGTTTATATTCTAAAAAACACAAATCGATTCGTGGTATAGGATGATGCGCTTCAAGGAGTTTGTTTATAGTTACTTCGTAACATGCACGTATATTAATCGAAACATCTGATTTCGGAACTATAATTAAAGGTGTACCTCTTCTTTTAAAGTGCCTCAGCTTGACCTCTACATTTTCTAATTCTTTGCCAACATCATTTATCAAAGCATTTTTTTGTTTTGACATAGTGAATCGTCATGTAAAGTAGGTGTACAGGGTGCAAAAAAAAAAAAGAACCGCTTTGAATAACTTTTGATCTAAGGATCAGATCTTCACATTCTAGAATTCAATGTTAATGGTTCGAAAGAACAACCTCAAATATGCTAATTAATTTGAGCAGACGATATTTTAAGTTACGAATTCAGACACAAAAACGTACTCTCTCTTAATAAACATTTGTTTTTTGAAACAGATTCTGGTGTTTAACTCCAAAAATATAGGGAGTAGCCCCTCTGGAGAGCGGTTCAAACTTTGGACCACCTAATGTTCATTTCATTTTTTTGCGCATTTCGCCACTTCTCAAGAACTTTTTCAATTGAATTGAAAAATGATTGCCCACATATTCGTTTATCCAAAAATAATTCCGTGCAAAAAATAAATTTTTTATTATTTTATTTAATATTAGTCGAAAAATAATTTTGAGTTTCAAGGTAGACAATTTTATTCATCATTTTACAGTATTCAATTTAACAAAGCAAAATACGAAATTTGAGAGAAATCGGCTGAATAGTTCCTGAGATTTTAAAATTCGTTTCCTAAAGAATTATTCAACTTTCTTACCTAACTTTATATCTTTCAAAATGTGTCGCGTAAAGTATTCAAATCATTTACTCGTAAAAGAAATTTTTTTTCATATACTTAGTAGAAAAGGATTGCCATATTTTTGTCCAAGACCGGTGATGGCTAGGGGGTGGAGCGTTCGCCTTCCAATGAGGTAAACCGGGTTCGAACCCCAGCGAAAGCTGTCGATACCAATTTCGCATCCGGCTTGCACCGACCACAGTGCTGACGTAAAATATCCTCAGTAGTAAAGGGATCATGGGTTAGAGTCCCCCTGCCGTCAGGCTAATCATGGGAGGTTTTAGTGGTTTTCCTCTCTATGTAAAGCAAATGTGGTTAATTCCATCAAAAAGTTCTCAAATTTCCCTCAATACTTGATCCAGGGGTTTCCTTGTCTTCTGCATTCAAAATTACAAGGATTGGGTTCAAAATTACAAGGCTACGGAGTTCAACATCATTAATCGTAGACCTAAAAAATAAGGTATGCCGTTCAGCGACTTTTATAAAATAAAATTTAAAAAACCTGTACAAAAACAGGAATTAACCCTACTCTCGATTCAAGCAACATTATAAATAAGGAACATTATATATAAGGATGTATTTGACAGTTAAAGGTTTTTTTAATTTTGCTTAAATGAATGATTAAAATTCTAATCCAACCATCACCTATCATTGCTTACTTATTTAAATGAATTAAGTAGGTATAAATTAATCAGATTAGATTTAATACTGACGCATGCATACATTTAAAAACTTTCACTAGTAGAGTTTTAATAATTAATAAGTCTTTTAAAATTCAACTTCTTCAAAATTCATAATATTACCAATTAATTATCCAAAATCATTTAAAAAATGTATGACATTTAATGTTATTTACTTTAATACAAAACAAAAATTCTTTCGTCTTTATCGAAAGAATTGTTAGAGCAAGAGTTTATAATATGACCCACATTCGAATCATCTGAGTTATTTTTATCTGAATGAGGGATGCCCAAAGCTTTCACTTTCACCTATATTTATTCGAAGTTCTGATACGCAAAGCTTATCGATTCGATCTTGTTTGTAACAAAATACCATTTCAATTTATTTTAAATCCTACGTTTCAAGGTTTAATCATACGATTTAACGCAATTTTAACTTATTTCCCATAGTTCATTTGTTAAACATCTGTTCTTAAATCTGATCTGCAGTTTTGATTTAGCGAAGAATTGGAATTAGTGTTTGGACATTTTAACTTCAATCAAAATTAGAAATCTTATTAACGCCGGTAACGGAAGATGAATTTTTATAATATTCTTTGTTTTAGATTTTTGTAGCTACAATAGCAAATGCAATTTCTACAGTTTTTATCAAATGTTAAATATTGATCGCAGCGAAATGTTTCGCACGTATCAGAATCAGATGTGCAGTGCGCCCCCCTCTTCCAATATAAACGAACGGTTCACCCAGAATGATGCTTGATCTAATGATCGGATTTTCAAGTTCTAGGAATCAATATTAATGGCTTAAATATGCTACAGCTTAATATGCTAACTGCAAGTGCAAATGATATTTTAAATTACGAAATATGACACAAAAACGCATTCTCCCTGAATAAACATAAATTTCATTCAACGGATTTGGATTTTGATCCCCAAAATATTAGAAGTAGCCACAATCTGGGAAATAGGATCCCAATAGTTTCGTCAGGAGAGGGTTTTGGACCCCTTAAAGCTAATTTTACTTTTTGGGTATTTTCCTTTTGGGACTTTTTGGACGAATAAAAACATTTTTGCACACAATTATAAAATTCGTTTATCGGATGATAATTCCATGAAAAATACATTTCAGTATAAATTTATTATTTTTTATTATTTTATTAAATAATTGTCGAAAAAACTTTGAAATGTAAGGTCTACAATTTTTTACAACATATTAAAGTATGCACATAACCCCGAAGAAGAGTTTTTGACTCTGCACTATAATTGAAACTTCTTTTCGTTTTAATATAAATAGTACAAGTGTGTACTTCCCTTGTAAATGTTTTAATCTACTGCTTTGAATTTTGAAAAAAATACCTCAGCATTCTATTTGCATTACCATGGCAACCTGCAGGCTGAAGTACTACTTACAATCCCTTGTCTAGTTAAAGAACAGATAACACAATTGGGTACTAGTACTTCAAGAAGAAGAACTTTCATACCCACATATGTGATCCATGACGTCAGGACCAGCTAATATTTATCCACAAAATGGTGTATTAAAGTTGAGATATTTTTCTCTATAGAAGTTAATATGTAAATTAACGATAAGTAAATTAAATACATAGCCGTATCGCTCATTGAATTAGTTGAAATATAATTCTTTCTCGTCTGCCTCTTTTACCTAATTTAGATTTATTATTTTTTTTATGTATTTTATTGTAACCGTGATGTATTTTTGTTTTGTGTACCTGGCAACTTCAATGCATCATTAGTTTGTTTATGTTTTACGTGGCTTCGTACCTGTCTTTGTGTTAAGTCTCTGCGCAAATATATAGTGAAAGAATCTTCGTGAAAGAATTTAGAATGTGTCACTTAAGTGAATCTATACTGAATGCGATTGGCTGACTCGAAATAGAATGGAAAGAATCGTTTCTAACTAAAACAAATTCCTCATTTCAATATTCAATCAGGTTAGAGACACCCACACTACGCCACTTGCAGTTATTCCATTTCAAAGAGATAATTGTAGCTAAAATTTAATGATAAATGTTGGTAAAATTTTGGTTTAATTTCATTCTGTCTCGCAAGGGATTAATGGGTCGATATCACATCGAAATTATAGATGAGCATGACTGTCTTACCTGCATCACGTGACTGATTTGCTCTCTTTCGGATAGTATTTCAGATAGACTTTTTGTGCCTAGGACCGTTCTTAGTGATGTCATTGCTAACAATTGAGTGGACGAAGCATAGTTACGGACATTCGACACGGCAACTGTTGCGTCACTGATTCGAAAATAAACAACGGCGTCTACAGCAACGGTAACGGAGTCCTTTGTCAAAACCTATGAAGCAAAATGAAGGAAAAAATTTACAAAAATATTAATAGAGTTTCAAAATATTTCTAGAAATTTTGAGGATATTTTTTTGATTATATGACATTTGAAAATTAAATAGAGTCAATTAATTTTAATTTGAACTCGGATGAGTTTGTACAACTATTGAAATCAACGTGAGCATAATTTTGCGGCCCATCGTTTTAACGCAAATTTTAAGTAGGTAGATAGGTATATTATTTACGTCGCACTAGAGCTGCACAATGGCGACGGTCTGGGAAACATCCCTGAGGATGATCCGAAGACATGCCATCGCAATTTTGATCCCTGCATAGGGGATGGCTCCCCTGCTTTGGTAGCTCGACTACCTGCGCATGAAGTCGAGCACATTAAGGTCGAAGAGTTTAATGATGATCGAAACCGCTCCCCTCGATCCTATGCAGGCTGATAAAAGTTGTCACCCAAACTAGTCATCCTTACCGCAGCCAGTGATGCTTGACTTCGGTGTTCTACTGGGAACCGTGTCTTTACGATCAGCCCACTGCGGGACGTAAGTTTTAAACATTAGTAGGGCCAGTTCCTAAATAAAAAGGCTTAAAAATTTTATTTTAGGCTAGGCTGTTTGTGCTTAGGTCTAAACTACAAAAAAAGGCCAAACTGAAAAAAAAAATCGGCTGTAAAATAATTTTCTATCAAAATTTCTTAAAAAGTTAAAGGAAAACTTTTGCTATATTTAATTTAGAGTTTTGCAAGGGTTTTAATTTAATTTTGCAAGGGCCATTTAGATGCGCCCTCAGATGCGCTGTTCTACAACAACGAACGAACGATAAGTTTTGCGGGATATAATTTGCTACTCTAGAAGGCACTGGTCTAGCAGATATGCACTGGTTTTACAGCCAGTTTTTTTCTTTTTTCTTGGGGGAACATACACCTCTTGTTTAGGACCAACATAAACAAACAGAAAACTAAGCCTAACCTTAATTGTTAATTTTCTACCACCGAAAATATTTAAGTTATCCAGTTTAGCAATCTATGCTTATCAAGTGAAACTGGAGTGCATTTGTATTTTGCTAAAAAGTTACATATTCAAATAAACTATTTCAGCGAATTTTAATTCATCTTCTGTTCGTCATTATTGACCTCAATAATGGTTCATTTGCGAGTGGTTTTGTTCGAATTCACCTATCGAGTTTGCGAACTCTTACGAGAACTGTTGTTTTAATCACAATTTCAATCAGGATTTGAAAGATAAGTATATAGTGTTGCATACAGTGTTTTATTTTATTGAAAACATTGCTTTCAATAAAAAGTAAAAAAAACTCATGAAGTAAAAACAGCAGTTTACGAACCAAATGTCCTAAAACTGACGAAAAATTTAAAAGAAAAAAAGAAAAAAGTTTAAGCTTGGTGAATTCTGATTAGGAAACTAGATATTTTGCTCATCAAATTCAAATATAAGTCACAAAATTTATAAGTAGATGGCACTTCTGACTGCAAAATTTTAAATCTGTGCATTCAACTGAAGTACATGCCATATAACGACGTCTCTTAATTTTGTCATCAAACTGCGACGCACATCGTTACACAGTGACGTTATATAGTAACAAAAATATTAGGTAGTGTTTTTTTCCTTAAAAATAAAGTTTTATAGTTTTTCCTAAGTTAATAATGCGAGCTGCTAGCGACATTTGTTATTAAATAATCAGATGAGAATTAATCTCACTCATTTCCATGCAGTACGCAGCAAACCGTACATTCCGTGTTTCTTTAATTCATTTCTGAAATTGTGCGTTATTTTTGAATAATTATAATGTAAATAGGTAAGTAAAGATCTTACCTCTTGAGGTGGGACGTTGAAAGATACTGTTCTTAGATCTACTTTACGGTAAACATCAGTGCAGGGAAGTATGAAAAACAGACCTTTATTTAGAGGGGGGGGGAAAAAGAATAAATCATCCCAATAACAGAAAAAAATTGCAAAAGCATTAAAAAAATAGGTAGGTATTTCATTTGCGTCGCTCTAAAGCTGCACAATGAGCTGTTGGCGACGGTCTGGGAAACATCCCTGAGGATGATCCGAAGACATACCATCACAATTTTGATCCTCTGCAGAGGGGATGGCGCTTTGGTAGCCCAATGACCTGTGAGCGAAGTCGAGCACTTTACGGTAGAACAGTTTAACGAGGATCGATACCGCACACCCTCGGTCCCTACGTAGGCTGATCGAAATAGTCACAAAGCGCTTAATGACAAAGTGTTCTACTGGGAACCATGTTTTTACGATCGGTCCACTGCGAGGCATTGAAAGAAGTATGTTTATAAATTGAATTGGTGGAATCCGTTTACATCCGCTTACAGCATACAAAGCATTTCTTGAAATTGTGTTATAAACACTCATTCAGTTATTTACAAATGAATTATGTCTCCATAATATCCCTTTGAAGTATTAAATATAGGAAAAAACGCATAAATTGTACAAATATTTGAACTTGAAAATAAATTCAAAACTTTCTCTATTAAAGGTGTTAAAAGGGTTAGTAAAGTAAACAAAAAATTATGCCGATTAAAGTTATCGAATGTCAGATATTTATATAAAAAAATGTAAAAGAAATTATATGTCCATTGGAGTTAAAGGATATATCATCCTCTTAAACAAAATTTACGAATGCCACATGGTTAAAATATTTCAAATTCAAACCGAGACCGTAACGGCGATCAACATTAAAAACGTAATGTAGCTGTTACAGTATTTTATTGTCATCGTTAAAAAATAGTTTTTTTTTCTTCAAAGGCTAACAATTTTAACTTTTTGAACCCTGAGTACATAATGTAAACACTGAATCATTTAACCCACATTTAACACATTTAAACTACCAAGTACAATATTTTATATAATTTCTGAATGTCATAATACCGTATGATTACTGATTCTTATAAAATGCAACAGACGGTGGTCCAAAGTCAATTTTATGAAAAATGGACATAAAACGTTTTTCTCTCTTTGATCATTTCCCCCTATGGGTAACTTTTAGCCATGGCAGTTCAGGGGATGAAGCGATCGCCTTACAATGAGGTGACCTAGGTTCGAATCCCAGCAATGGCTAGTCGATACGAAATCCATACCCGGCTCGAACCGACCACAGTGTTGACGTTAAAGTGCTACATTTTAAATATAATTTTGCTTTCAAGGTTTTGTATCCTTTCTAAAGCAAGTGAATCATGGATATAGGGATTCAGCAAGGTAGCTGAATCCATATATCCGTAAAGGTTATAAAGCATCATATTTAAGGAGCATGAATCAATTAAGTATCGGATCATGGTAAGGCAGAAGGATCATTGGTTAAAGTCCCTTGCCTCTTGCTTTTCCTCTCCCTGCAACGTAGATGCGGTAAATTCAATCAAAAAGTCCTTCACGAAGGCTAATTTCTCCCAATATTTGATCCAGAAGTTCCCTTGTCTTTTGGATCGGGTTTAAAAACACAAGGCTATAGAATTGAACATTCTCAGTCGTTATCTCAAAATTGGGTCGGCTGTGCAACGACGGTTACAAGAAAAAATATCAAAATCAAAATTAATTACGTTAATATTTTATTACTGACCATTTTTCTTGTACCACACAAATACCCATAATCTTACAAGCTTCCACTAGGAAACCTAAGCTCTACAATAAAAGAGTAAGTTTAGGTATGTTTTTAATCTAAGAGGATATACATGTATTAAAAAAAACAAGACTTACCAGGTCCTGCAGCACCTCCTTTGGAAAAACGACCCAGTCGAAATATTACAGCTCGTTCGTATTCTTTAACAACCTAAATGAAACAAAACTCATTTGATTAATAAAGAAATCCATATAATAATCTTACTACGAAAAAGTGAATCTTTTTTCTTACATCTTTGGTGCATGTACAAAAAATTCGAAAATAAAATAAAACGCACAAATAATTTCCCCCAATTTTAACTTTTATTTCAATTTTCAAGTTTAAAATTTTTCCAAGTGTATTTTTTTTTTTAAATTTGTTTCATTTCTTATGCATTTAAAAAAAAAACAAAAGTAAGTGGATTTTAACTAAATATTTGCTTTTCATACCTTTCCCTTTTTTTCCGCAAAAATAAGCAAATAATCAGACCACCTTCCTCCTGTGATGCAGTTATAGTATTTTAACGATTTTTATGCATAAATAATTTAACCTATAACAAGGTTGCCATAGGCGACTGAAAATGCAAAAAATGGTGCTTAATAAAATTAAACATTTCATTAAAAGAGATTAATGTAATAAGCTTTTTATAGCATATTTTTTCAGTTTGCTATTGAAAGTGTTTGAATAGAATATTTTGACTTTAAATATGAATAACTTGAAATGTAAGTCGTGGTGGTGATATTTCCGTATCGTGTTGCATATCACAACTACAATCGCCAAGGTGCCAAATAGATTTTAAGCTTGTAATTTAAAGGAGAAAAAAATGCCCGGGGGCATGTAAACTCTCTTTACACACATAGTATCCCCAAGAGATTTTGAGAGCGCTGATTGGCTTTCTCGGCATTGCCTTCTGTTAAGTCTTTTTGTAGCTCCTCCTCAATAACATTTCTCCGTAGTTTGTTTCCAAAATGTAAATCAATCATAAATCAGTTCCAGTGAGAAATGACAGTGATAAATCAGTTTATGACAAATGTTAAAGTTTTGTTCAAAAAATTAAACAGCGTTATTAATTGTATTTTAATAATAACACATTTATTTAAATCTAATTTGCTTTAAATTTTATGCTAATATTTTTTAACATTAATGTTATGAATTTTATGATAGCTTTTATGTAAAATATATATAACAATTGATTAATATTCAAATTGAGTAGCATTGTGAATATCCTTATGCACTTAGAAATTAAAAACTCTTACTTAAATTTATTAAGTATGATTGCAGAACCACTCAGTTAAGTTTGAATTTATTATATGAGATTTTAGAATGTATATAAAAAATTTTAAAATTATGTTTAATTACTTAAAAATATTTTATCATATTTTAGAGGAAAATATTCTAAAATGTTAAAAAAATTTAATTATAATTTAGCAAAAAAATTTTAAAAGTTTTTGAAAAACTTCTTTTACATTTCTCCTGTGGCACTTTCATAAACGCACTGTGGTGACAAACAAATAATTTCCTGCAATTAAATAATAAAAAAATATTTACAATCCAATAGAAATGTACTAGAATTAAAAGAGGGAATTTTTTGTAAATTTATTCTCTAATTACTTATGGTATTAATTTAATGGACAATTCATAATCATTGACTTTTATTTTGATGGGAATTATGCAATCAAAAAATAATAAAAGAGGCATCTTAAAAGACAATTGCTTGATTTCTTAGATGCCAATTAATAGTTTTTCGGTATTATAAAACATTCAACAACAAAAAAAAAATTAAAAATAAGTTATAAATAAGTAGGCATAATGCACATCTCTTAGTTTTAATTTATAATAATAGATGGCGCCACTAAAAAATCTTAAATTAAAAATTTTATAATTTAATTTTAGTAATCCACAAAAAATAAATAAAATATTAATTTAATTCGATGAACATTAATTTAATTAAATAAATATCAAGTGAAAACTATTCAATTCTCATTTTATAGTGAGTATAAGAATTAAGCAAGGCAATTAAATTCGATTTCAATGTTATTCAATAAATTAGAAGGATATTAGCTTCATAAGAATTCATGCATGTAATAATCATAAATTTAACGAAAAAAGCATTTCCCATAAAAATTAAATACAATTTTTTTTTGAAAATAACTAAACTAGTTATTTACCTACAAACAAACCTTTTTCCATGAGGTTTGGATGTTCTAGAATTCCATTTCGTATTGGTAAGTTCCCCAAATGCCCTTACCCACCTATTGCAATCGTCTAAATTTAGAACATTACTTCTAAGGGTAATGGTAATTGAAGAAATATTTTTTACTTCATTTTTAAATGAAGAAGGCAGTTTCTCTGTTGAAAAAACTGACATTTCAAGTTTGTACACAAAAGCTGGAGTATAGAAATGTGCTGAAAATAACAAGCATGGCAGAATGAAATAGCCATACGTCACAGATGGCGTTGCCGAGAAAGCCAATCAGCGCGCTCAAAATTTCTTGGGGATACTATGTGTGTAAAGAGAGTTTACATGCTGCCCGGGGATGGCTACGAGTTGCACCTTTCGCGTTATCTTTTCTATGAAGTTTTTTTTTCTTCTTTTCTTTAGTTTTTCATGGGCCGTTGAAGTTGCCAAGACGTAGCGGAAATCTCCCCGTCATGGTGGTAGTTACGGTTTAATAATTGAAAAGATTATAGATAAAAGAATAAATTAAATATCTGCCACTTTTTACATATTTAGCCACCTATGGTATCCCTGCTATTATCACCCAATGTCATATTTATAGAAGCTCCTTTCGTGTATTGGGGTAGAAAAACTGCTTCAGTTTTATCATTTATCTTGAAGAATTAAAAGATTATATTCCTCTAAGGATTTAAGTTTCTGTGACTTAATCTCGGAACTATAAGAACTTGACACCTTTTGAAAGGAAATAGTTGCTAACAGTAGAAACAGTTAGTGTAACATCCATACTACTTTCTTCATAAATCCACTTTTTTATCGCTTCAATATAAAAAGTTGGAATAAAATGGATTGAACAAATAAACGAAGAGCATAGTAGATGAAGCAGGAAAGTGACATTTTCAGAGGTTTTTAAAGAATCAGAGAAAATAAAAAAGTAGTTGCATGTGTATAGACAGGTTTAATCTAAAAGAATAGTTTTAGCTTTCACTTTAATTTTGACATAACCAGCGATGCCAGATCGCTTTGCAAAACTGCATTTTCTAGTGGTAACAAAATAAGAGTAATTTGTAGTTTAGTATTTTTAATTTTAAGTAAATTTTCCACCATTACATATCGAAAATTCAAAGTATCATATAAAATGCAACTTTATTGCACGTATTTCGTAGTTAGTCTTTTAAAGAACAACCACACGTAATTATCCTTATTCTGCAAGATTTACAATTTAATTTACAATAATAATAAAATTTTTGCAGAAATCGGAGTAGTTAGCTTCGCTGCATAAGTAATGCCACATTAGTTTCCAGTAAGCTTGCGTAATTTTTTTTTTCCAATTAGGGAGGGACACAGATAATATGGCGAGGAATCTTTAGCGCCGTCTTCTGATAAATCTATAATAAAATAGCTCGGATATCACTTTACTTCCTCTGAGATTGATTTTTCCCAGGGTTAGAGAAAAGAGATTCTATGTCTCTTTAGCCCTGGAATTTACCACTTTGAAAATGTCACTGACCCACTACATCCACTCGACTCAGAAAGATTCTGTATCTCTTTAGACCAGGGGTCGCCAAACTTTTTTGATTATCGACCCCTATATAATTTTTCGAAATCTCCATCGACCCCCGCAAAAGTAATTTTCTGTTAATTAAAATAAAACTCTATTAGATACTATGTTTGTACATTTATTTTATGATTTTAAACATTTATTAAAGTAATAGTACATTATGTAACAATAGTTTTATGAAAAATATATTAATATTGAAATTTAAATACCTTATTATTAAATAATGAGTAATTATGCATAAGTAGATATAATAAGTAAAGTAACTAAAGATTTACTGCTTCTTGATCAATGAGATGGGTGTGCCTGGTGTTTTTTTTGCAAGGTTCGCTATACTGGGTTCAAAATGGGTCAATTTTAATTTTCCTCAAAATGGGTCAATTTTGTAATTTTCGTAAAAAAATACAAAGTGTGCTACAGTTTTGTCTGGGGCTGTACTAATCCATATCATTAATGCTTACCTTCTTTTTTGCGCATTGATAGTTAATATTGATATCTAAACCAAACGAATGGTTTTATCGAAACAATAACTAATTATCCAATACTATAAAAGTTTTAATAATGACACTGCAAATATTCAACACAGTTTGCAAAGATAGTTGAAACAGCGTATGATATTTGCATTTGTAACGTCAATGTTCGTCACACGTGACATTTGGACAAGCGCACATATGCATATGACTTATAAACTGCGCTGAGTTCGTGCCACTGCGCGGTGGTACGTACATACTTGTTTCACCCGAATAAATATACGTTTATTAATTTATGCTTTATAAAGAAACTGATATTGAGTCAATTATAAAAAAAAAT